TCATAAAGTCTTCCTTGTGTGGGAGACTAGTGAGCGCCTATCAAAGCGCTGATGGTCTATGTGAGCAGTTATGGTGTTCGATACACCTCAGACGCGGCGAGTTGCACGTGGGCGTGGTATATCGCAGCCCACTGAGCCGCAGTTTGGACTGGTTGCCGCATGTCCGCAACCACATGAGTCGTCCGATGTTCCTACTCATGGCGATTTCAACTTGCCCCGAATACAGTGGCCTGAAGCTGAACTTCTCCCCGGCCACTGTGAAGTCGAGAGGAAGTTTACGGAGTTGCTATTTGAAACTGGGGTCACACAGCACATCAACCAACCAACACGCATTACAGCGCGCGCAACTCCATCATGCTTAGACCTGCTGTTGACTAGCTGTGAGCAGCGTGTACATAACATTCAAGTCTTAGAGCCGCTGGGAGCGATCGACCACTCAGTGATCATAGGCAGTTTAGAACTACCGCTACCGTATCCTCTCCCACTAGAGTCAGCCTTCAACTATTGGAAGGCGGACTTTAATGGCCTCATTCGAGCAGCGAGCCAGATAGACTGGTCTTTACCACAGGATTCATCTATTGAAACCTGTTGGGCTATCATTAAAGAGGGAGTGAAATCATTGTGCGCCCGATTTGTGCCCCTCAAATTTCGGAAAGTTGGGCCAGTCAAACCACATTGGTTTGACAAAGAGTACAACAAAATGGCCCGAGGTCGACGTAGACTATGGAACAAATTCGTGTTATCTGGCTCTGATGAGGACTACAATGCGTACAAGGTACAACAAAATCGCTGCAACGACGCGAAAACAAGCAAACGCAGAAGCTTCGAAGAGGAGCTTGCAACTGCCGCAAAAACTGCTCCCAAGAGGATCTTCGCATATGTGAAGCGGCGCCTAAGGCCTATAGCCAATATCCCAGTGTCAGAAGGCTCAGAAGGACAGCCTCTAACCTCGAGTACAGATCGTGCGTCAGCATTGGCAACGCACTTCGCCTCCGTATTCGCAAGTGACCAGATGTCTGTAATGAGTTCGAGGAGCACCGCTCCAGCCGAACTTAACAGCCTGGACTGCAATATTGAGGGTGTACGCAAGATTCTGGCAAATCTTAACGGGACGATACCTGCTGGGCCAGATGGTATACACCCACTAATCCTCAAGTCATTATCGACCATAATTGCACCTTCTGTAACTGAACTGTTTAACAGGTCACTATCCACTGGTCTACTACCGGACGACTGGAAATGCTCAGTCGTAAAGCCTATCCCGAAAGGTGGTAACCCAAGCAAAGTGGATAACTACCGGCCGATCTGCCGGACGGCAGTTTTGGCAAAGACGCTCGAGAAGATTGTGAAGAAGAGCCTTCTGCAACTTCTCGAGTCGAAAAACCTGTTAACCTCCGCACAGCATGGTTTCCTGAAAGGTCGTTCGTGCATCACCAACCTACTGTTGACGAGGCACGAATGGTTACAAGCGCTGAACAAAGGCCAATCGGTTGACGTCATTTACATTGACTTCAGTAAGGCTTTTGACAAGGTTAACCATGCAGTGCTCCTTGACAGACTGAGGATGTGCGGTGTTGGTGGTTCGCTGCACAAATGGATCAGCAATTTCCTTATTGATCGGAAGTGGAGAGTCCAGGTGGACAACCATCTAACTGACTGGTATCCATCGAGCAGCGGTGTGCCCCAAGGCACTGTACTGGGACCGATATTGTTTCTAATCCATATAAACGATGTGCCTCAGCTACTACAATTACATTGTGCTTTGTTCTCAGATGACTTGAAAGTGTGGAGAGTAATCCGCACACTCAATGATTGCGATTTACTTCAGCAGGATCTCGACCGCCTCTCAACATGGTCTGCAGAGGTTAACCTTCCGATCAACCCTGCCAAGTCGCAATTCATGAGGTTGGGTAAGTATGATCACGGCCGAACGTACACAGTGGCTGGTCAACCGTTGCATCCCGCTCCTTTCGTGCGCGACCTCGGTGTACTCTCAAGCTGCGACCTAAAGTCCATTGACAACACGAATAGGCTGTACCAAAACAGCCTTCGGATGCTTTGGGCTCTCAGGCGCAGCTTTAGCACTTGGTCCGAAGAGATGGCCACTCGCCTCTTCGTCTCGATAATACGACCAATGCTGGAGTACGGCACTCCCGCATACTGTCCCATCACCCGGGGCGAAGTAGTAAAGCTTGAGCGGGTGCAGCATGTAGCCACTAGGCTGATTCCCAACTTACGAGGTATGCCATACGAAGACCGATGTAAGAAACTAGGGTTATACACCCTATCTTATCGTCGGCTGAGGGTTGACCTCATCATGACGCACCGGATATTACATCTGGGTGATTACCCCATGTTGAGACAACTACTTCATCTGCGCACACCAAGCTGCACGCGAGGACACCGGTATAAACTTATCGTCCCGGATTTGAAGCGGGTCGCCCATCAACTCTGTTTCGAACGAAGAGTGGTGAATGTCTGGAACGACCTGCCTCAGCATATAGTAGAAGCGGACACAGTGGCTAAATTCAAGATGCTACTAGACAAACAATTTGGATGATGATGATGATGATGATGATGATGATGATGATGATGATGATGATGATGATGATGATGATGATGATGATGATGATGATGATGATGATGATGATGATGATGATGATGATGATGATGATGATGATGATGATGATGATGATGATGATGATGATGATGATGATGATGATGATGATGATGATGATGATGATGATGATGATGATGATGATGATGATGATGATGATGATGATGATGATGATGATGATGATGATGATGATGATTAATATGATTAATAATATGAATAAGAATATTAATAAGAATAAAATAAGAATTAATAATAAGATAAAAATCATCATCATCATCATCATCACCACCACCACCACCACCACCACCATCACCGGGACATGCCTGCGGTTAAAGCCACACCTATTGTCTAGTCAAACTGTTCCGTATTCAACCAAACACGCCCTCTAGTTACTTTACATGAAGGGACGGGTCACCACAAAAGTTCCGCTTGTTTGAAAGCTTACGATGTGCCAACAAGCAGCACCAGTATGCATCCGGTATGATCTGTGCAGAGGAGTGTGGTTGGCCCCAGAGTTGCTACTTTTCTTGTATCGACTGCGTTAGACACCACACCTAGAAGATATCGAAACTGATTTTAGATTACTGATGAGTAGTGAGAGATTTTGTGGATTTAGTTCGTCGATGTTCTCGTAAATGTCTCGTCTGGGACGTCAAACTGCTTCTCTATTCCTGCTTGCCAACTTTGTTCCAATTCCTTGAACCATTTGCACATTGTGTTAAAGAGAAGAGAGAGTGCAACAAGCATCACAAAACTGACCGGGAACAAGTTCATGCCAATCTAGCGAGTGACCGTGATACTGTGCGTCTGCGGCTGCATAGTTGTTTTCTGTGTGATTACCTGTATACATTTGCTACTCATTTGTAACGAATCTCATTTACAATTCCGTGCCACTGCTGAGCATGTCTACTTGCACAGGCTGGTGTAGGCAACGTCATATACATGAACTGATATTATCTTTAGGCATTATTTTCCTCCAAAAGTAGTCAGCTGGCTCCGAACACGGCAGTCGCATCCACATTTAAGGCCTCCTCCTTATTCGCTCTGTGATGATGTCTGCCGGTATACAAGTGCTCACCCTTCTACTGTACAACACTACTCGTTTTCAGGTTTACCTTTCTCCTACTCTCATCAAATTCTGGTCTCATCATGAAAAGATGGTTGCGATCGATCAATCCATTGTATTCATGGGAGGCATTGACCTATGTTTTGGAAGATGGGACACATGTGATCACAGGTAGGACAAAATGGATCACATCAGTTCGAATGTGTTTCTGCATGTCCCTACACGCTTTCTTCATTTTTCAGAGGAGCCAGAGTGACTGCGTTTGCGGCGCATTCAATCGTGAACGTGCCCGAGCAGGTTGAGTGGAATTTATCTTTTTTAATATGGTAATGCACCTTGTTTTTATTTGATAGCCACGCAACTACGTAAGTGTGGAACTATGGCATAACACGGGTACAAAAGATAGGGCTTCATCAGTTTCACAAGATAGTCTGTATAAAGTATTTGATTTGAGATTAAAAACAGTTCCAACAAGACAACATGCGCATCCATGATCTCGTCATAACATCCACGTTATCATACATGTAAATCCATCTGCCGCGATCCCATGGGGGCCGGTGAGCCCAACCTATTTTACGTCTCGTCCCTACTCGATAAACAGAATCCAAACCTCCTAAGGTAGATGGTGCAATGTATCGTCGAGTCGATTTTTACTACTGGGCAACGTAGGCGCAGAAGTGATCAAAATCAAAGTAGTGTTCCACGGCTAACAAATTGGGATGGAAAAAATTCCGGCAGCATCTCGGCCGGCCACATTTTGCTGCCAGTTTCAGCTGGTGGTCCCGCGGTTTTGCTTTATGGTTAACTCAGCAGATGGCTGCACACGTGACTAGGGTTTATCAAATCGAATAGGTCATGATTAGATCACCTAGTAGACGGAGATAACTTCCGTTGTATAATTCTGAAGTGCCCCGTTGTGGACGCGCTGAAATGAAAAGTTCGCCTAAGGTCGTTCCCACGCGTTGCGCTGTCAGTTATGCAATTCGGAGCCGTCGCGCGATAACGCCCGTGCACAATCCAGCCGCCGCCTGTACGATAACCGAAATGTTAATTGGGGAACTCACGCATTATGAAAAGGATGTGACCACCATGACGGCACCCAGACAAGCCTTTACCTGATCCCCTTTACTGCCTCCGCAGAAGGCGATAACGATAGAGACACCGTCCTAGTATTGGCACGAATTACTTACTACGCCGTGAGTTTTGGCGAGACGAATTTGTTCATTAAACTCCGCTGCGTCGTGGTTTGGAAGTCGCGTGTTCACACCGCAAGTGGCACACTGTGCATCCTATGCTTGCGCAGGCGAGCAATAGAACCCGTGCCATGAGTGCACATCTTTGAGGAATCACTTGACATTCCGATAACATGTTCAGACAAGTCTGGTATGGCAGCTGGAAGCATCTCTTAAAGTTTTTGGTTGCAATACGCTGTGGGGTCTCCAGTGCAACCACAAGGAGATTAAACCAAGTTTTCCCGGCCTTACTCGTACACTCCTCATAGGGCCTCACGTGTGATTTGAGCATAAAAAGATTGAGACTGCTCAAGTTGTCCGAAGGTCTTCCGGAAGTCCGGATTGACACTACTACACCCTTTGCTTCTAACAGCCGAGATCATCTTGCACCACCGTACCACTTTCGTACTCTCGTGAGGATGTCTTCAGGATGTGGCCTTCCAACCCATTAATGTTTCCTGGCCCGTGGAATAAACTAACTACTCACTTGGTAGACTGAGTGTTCGCTGAGCTCGGCAGGTTGACTGCAAACGTTTCGTCATCACTCGAGGTGACATCATCAGTGCGCGTGTACTTAGCAGAGTGGTGCGTACGTACGCTCCACTCCGCTAAGTACACGCGCACTGATGATGTCACCTCGAGTGGTGACGAAACGTTTGCAGTCAACCTGCCGAGCTCAGCGAACACTCAGTCCACCAACTGTACAACCTGAGCTACCAACATTTGCTTCCGTATCGTAACTACTCCCTACTTATCCGCGTTGACCGGTAGTGGACTCGTCTTCCATCATTTAAAAATACGGTCTATGTTGCATGGCAAAGGGTCCTGATCATCCTTATTAGCCAAGCGCTGTCTATATATTGATTTCAGATATGAAAAGCATGAAACCCGGCTTGATGACACACGTTAACTCCTTGATGGAGAACAGAAATAAGCTTGGCCCAAACCCTGATCCTTGTTGGACGCCGTAGTCCACCTCATTCGGATCATACAATGATCCCCTAACACGAAACTGCAGCTGCCACTGAAGAAGGAAGTTACCGATCCATCCAAGGATAGGGTGTGTAATACCATAAGTTTGTAGCTTATGGGGCAAGATGTGAGGATCCAAGTGGTCAATTACCATGATATAATCCTGATAGATAACATCGGTTCCGGTCTCATTAACTGCCGTCTCGATCCAGTAGATTGCTTGCACATGATCCTGCTGATGGAGGTCTTGTTGCTACTATGCCATGGTTTTGAATCTACCTTAGTGCCGCATTAATGCCTCAGCAGTGATCACTTCCATAACCTATGAGAGCACAGAGAGGAAGACCATCAATGGACAGTTTGCGGGCTCCTAATGGCTACCATTCTTTAAAATGAGTATGAAAATATATTTCTTACGCATTGTAGGGACTGGTTTTTTATGAAAACACTTTTGAAAGTCTCCGAGTACTGGCTGCGATAGCCTTGCAACTACAACCTGTGATAGGATTGTGCAATCAAGCTGCCAGCTTGCCGTAACCGAACAGAGCAGTTGATTGGACGCCTGCACTTATTTCGTCTACGCGCTGATTGGTTCGCCGGAGCGGGTTTGTTTCACTGCTTCAAAAGAAGAACCTCATGCGTGCAGCAGTGTCGTCAGTTATGGAAATCATTTAATTAGTTTTTCGATTTTCTGACATGCTTGTCTGGCTGTCATTTTCGCTGCGCTTGCTTTGTCGAATAAACCGCGTATGTCCCTGAAGGACCGAGTTCTATGACATGGTGTCAGAGAAAAACAAGCCAAGATCACCCGGTTGCTCAGTTGCTGATTGGAGCGCAACCAGCTGTGCAATCAGCTGCCACGCTAAAGAAGGAAGAACGGAATTTTGCCAAAAATTGGAGAATCTGTAAAAGCAAATGGGTCGATTTCTGTGCACTGGTGCGGATAACTAAACAACCGATGGCGTATCGATTGGCGGTGATTCGACATACGATCGAAGATGAAACACCGCGTCTATGAAACGCTACAGTACGAAAAGGACGAGGACTCAGTTGATCTGGAAACTGTCGTCCGAAAATTCGGTGATTCCTGCGAAGGCCAGACTAACGAGACGTATCAGCGATATTTCCTATTATACCCGGAACCGGCGCACAAACGAAGCCATCGAGAACCATGTTACAGAGCTGAAGATAAAGTCTCCATCTTGTAATTTTTGCAATTGTATGACTGACGGTCTCATCCGAGATAGAATGACGTTACGGATCAATGATGAAAATATCATCAAGCGGCTGTTGCGGCAACAACAGTTATCGCTCAGACATTCCCTTGATATATGACTTAATGAATCGTCAGCTACACGCCACATCCAGCGAATGCGGTTTCCGTCTGATGCAGAGCCATGTACAGTGTCCAGTTTACCTGACAAAACTGCAAAGTATGTTATCAAGACACACGAAACTTGCAAATTCTGCGCCTCGAGACACCCGAACGATCGCGATCAATGTCCGGCGTGGGTCCGAATTTGCACCAGATGCGGCAGACGAAATCAGTTCGCTCGATGTTGCCAATCTTCGAAGGTGAGTGCACACAGTCGTGACACAACCTCCTCTAACTTTGAACAGTCAATCAACAACGTGTGGCGGACAGGACTAAAGAAGTGGGTCTATGCAAGTTTATTTGTTGGTGACGAGATGGTACGTTTCCAGTTGGACTCGGGTGCCACCATAAACATAATTCCAGCGAATCGGTGTCCAGGAATTCGTGTGTGACCTGCTCAGAGAGTCCTGCGCATGTGGAACGGTTCCCAGCTCCAGTCGTAAGGTTTGGCCAAATTCAAAGTGATCAATCCCAAAGACGGCTGTTCACATCAGTTGGATTTCGTGGTCGTGGAGTTAAGGCTCCTGCCGATTGCCGGCATTCATTCCATCCAATGTCCTGGCTTTATTCATTTTAACCATGATCGTTTTGTGCATGTATGTGAAGCCAAGGCGGATAGTAGTGAACAGTATCCGTCCCTTGTTTAACCCAGGTATGGGAAGTTTGAAGGTTCCCTTCATTTGTCACTAAACCCGTCAATACGACGGATTGCGCCGCCAGCTAGGAGGGTTCCGTTTGCATTACGATATAAGTTCGTCACGAATTAATTAACCTGACGCAATTGGGCCTAATTACTAACGCAGATGAGCCCACAGACTGGGTTAGCCAAGTCGCGATTGAAACGAAAAAGGACGGTGATTTGCGTTGAATGAAGCAATGCGTAGAAAACACTAGACACTGCCAACGTTAGAAGGTGTCCTGCCGCTTTTGGGTAAGGCGAAGTACTTCACCAAAGTCGATCTATCATCGGTATTCTGGCACGTGGTCTTAGATGAGGAGCCAAGTTTCCTGACGACCTTCGCCACGCCCTTCGGGCTTTTTCCGCTGTCCACATTTACTGTTTGGTTCGAAGGTCGCGATCGAGATTTTTCAAAAGCGATTACTACAAGCTTTTGACGACCTAGGCAGTGTAACATGTGTAGCAGACGATGTTCTGATTTACGGCTCCACCGAACTGGAACATGACACTAATCTGCACCACTTTGAACAGCGTTGCGTGCAAAAGCACATAAAGCTTAAACGCGAGCAAGTTGAGCTCCGGATGTCCGAAGTGGTTTCTCATGAGCACGTCCTGATATCCGAGGGAATAAAGATCGATCCCGGATAAACCAAGACAGTTCATGAAATGCCACAATCTGAGGCCTTCAAGGCTGTTAGTCGTTTAAATCGCATAATGAATTATCTAAGCCGTGTCTTACCAAGGCTAGTTGGAATCATGATGCCCATCCGGATACTGACACACAAGTGTGTAAAGTGGAGTTGGGGAGAAGAGCAGAAGGACGCCCTTACAACCAACAAGCGTCTTATTAGCTGTGCACCAATATTCGGCTACCATGATCCAGCTCTGCCTTTGAAGGTGTAATATGACAGCA